CGATTACATATAAATCATAATTCTAAAAAATTACAATAGCTACCAGTATAATTTTTTACAATGGTAGGCTGATACGACAGAAGCATTTCACAGGCAGCATCTCACAGGGATCCTGCCAGGACCACTCAATGAGCCCCTTTAACAGATGAATAAACTGGGGTTGAGACTTATCCTTTAGAATAATTAGTCAATCCTCAGGTGCATCTGACCCCAAAGCACATCCAGGTTATGCATGAGAATGACCTGGAAGCTTTTAGAAAGTCCAGAATCCCAGGCCTCACTTCAAATCTATTGGATCACAATGTTCGGGGCAGATCCCAGGAAATTATATTTTTAATTTTTTTGTGGGGGGAGGTACTGGAGATTGAACTCAAGGGCACTGGACCACTGAGTCACATCCTCAGCCCTATTTTGTATTTTTATTTAGAGACAGGGTCTCACGGAGTTGCTTAGCACCTTGCTGTTACTGAGGCTGACTTTGAACTTGCAATCCTCCTGTCTCATCCTCTTGAGCCACTGGGATAACAGGCATGCACCACCATGTCTGGCAGGAAGTTATATTTTTAAAACAAGGTCCCCAGGTGAAAGGGATGCCACCAGTCTAAGGACTGGTCATCATTAGACCACATGCCTTCCTAGGAAATGATGAACCCTCAGTAGGGGACATGAAAGGGTAGCCACTGACACAGTTGCCCCTCCTCATCATCAACTGTACATTGTCAACTTAATGACTCTGTGACAGGAATTGAGAGGAGGACACGTGTGAGACAGGAAGTACACGGGGCCTCACACTGAATGATGTGCCTCCTCTTCTGGGACAGGCCACGTGTCACATCTGAGGGACCCCAGCTGGATCAGGCCTCCCAGATCTCCCTGCCCCACTGTAGAGGAAGGGGAAGAGAAACATACCAAAACCATGGGTGGCAGGGCAGCAGGTGGTGTGTCGCTTCCTCCTGTAGCCTGCAATGTCCCCATAAGAAAGCTGATCCAGTAACCACTGAAGAGGGCTGTCCCCACATCCCCTGCCAGAGAACTTGTCCTACACACCCCAACCCCTCTGCTCCTTTGCTCCAGAAAAACTGCCAATAATTTAAATTCAAGTGGCACCTGCTTTGGCCACTGGTGATGACGGATTAAGAACCAGCTGCCTCCATAGGCTCTCCTGCCAGCACGGCCCTGGCCCAGCTCCTCTCCTTCCCCAGTCTACTCCTTTGGGAAAGATCCAGCAAGATCCAGGAGAAGTGACTGGCTGAGGAGCAGTTCAGCTTGCTAATAAGGCCAAGGTCAGAGGCCGGGCTTCAAATAAGCCCAGCTCCCTTCCTTTGCCTCTGGGGTCACAGACAGGGCCCCGAAAATCCTGCCACCTGGTCATAAAAGGAAGCGGCTAGAGTGTAGACAGATCAAAACAAATCCAATGCCATTCGTGAAAACAGCCAATCGGGTGAACGGTGATGGATGGTGACTCGGTGGCATCTCAGATTTGAAGGACACCGCATCAGAAATGACCTCAGAGCCTAATCAGTTCCAGAAAAGGGCTTTGTTCTCCTGGAGGCAAGGTGGGAGATCAAAGCATTTCTTGCTAATCACCATTGGGCATTAATTACTTGTTAAGAAACCTGACCCAGGAGCAGAACCCACTCCGGGGAGCCTCAAGGAGCACCCTTGATCTTTCAACCCAACCTGCATCAAATTGGGAGGAAGCAGACTGCAACCCTGGGAACCCAGAGACCCCGGGCGGCCCAGGCAGCCAGTCGTTCAGTTACTTCTTCCTTTCCTGTTAACTTTTTAACCCCACCAGCCAGGAAGTGCAGAAACATAATGCCTTCCCCTCCCCACGCCTCCGCCACCTTTCATTAGGTTCTCACAGCAGCCGTGACAGAAACAGGCAGATCGGGACAAACACCTCACTACTCACAAGCCGTGTGGCTTGAGGCATACCCCTGAACCTCTCTGAGCCCCTTGGTCTCCTTGACTGGACTGCACAGCTGAGACTATCCACCTCCTGCCCTCATTGTAAAGATAAAGAAAATCTAAAAACTGCATCTAAAACTTGATGCTAGGCTGGAGGTGTAGCTCAGTAGTAAAGTTGCCTAGCACAGGTGAGGCTCTGGTTCCATCTGGTTCCAAAGAAAGACAAAAACAAAAGGGCTGGGGTTGTGGCTCAGTGGCAGAGCACTTGCCTAGCACATGTGAGGCACTGGGTTCGATCCTCAGCATCACATTAAAAAAAAAAAAAAAAAAGGAAAGAAAAACTAAATAAAGGTATTATGTCCATGTACAACTAAAAAAAATTAAAGAAAGAGAGAGAGAGAGAAACAAAACAAAATAGTCTATCCATACAATGGGATATTATTTGGCCATAGAAGGAGGAGGACTAGTCCATGCTTCATCACGGTAGACCTCAAAAACATTAGGCAATATGAAAACAGTCAGATACAATAGGTCACCTCCTGCATAAGTTCACTTATAAGAAATGGGCACCACAGGCAAACCCATGAATGAAAATAGAAAGTAGATCAGAGGTAGAAGGAGACCACGGGGGAGGGGCCGAGCACTGATGAGGTTCCCTTTTCCTTTGTGGTGCTGAGGGTGGAACTTGGGGCCTCACACACCCTAGGCAAGGGCTCTCTACCACTGAGCTACATCCCCCAGCCCCAACTGATGAGGTTTCTTTTGGGGGGTATAAACATGACCATAGATCATGGCGATGGTCATACAAATCTTGGAATGTGCCAAGAAAACACTGTTTTATTACACTAAAAAAAAGTGCTGTTGGACACCCACTGTCCTCCCTCCTCCCTCCCACCACTTCTTCCCCACCCCGCCCTTGATCCTCCCTGCAGCGTTGACCAACCAGCTAGGCTGAACTGTGTCCATTGAGTGTTTGAGAACCCACCCTCCCCAGGAATCCCAGAGAAGGTCTGTGCCACCAGAAGCCATCTTCCTGACCTAAGTTTTTGGAGAAAAGGGAAAAGAGGTTTGTTTGTGTGTTTGTTTTTCATGCCTATAAAGCCCCTGGAGGGTGGGTTAGGGTCTCAGCTCCAGACAGGGCCAGTTGTCTGCCTGAAGTGATTCAGAGGTCCTCTGGGGCTCCTTTATTAATTCTGACAGTGGATGAAGGTAGGTTTGTGTTCCACACACCCTAGTGCCCCTCCTGGAGCAACTGCCAGTTAGGAGGGACCGGGGTGGGAGGGACAGGCAAAGCCTTGCTTTCCTCTTTAGACTCAACACACCTATGGCCCAGCCCATTGGTTTCAAGATGCTGTGCCTGCAAGCTGTTTGTGGTCTGATAACTGGCGTATGCTATTGCACACACCACGGGGAAGGCAGCTTTGTAACTCTGTGCACCTCCACAAGCTGGTAAGAGGGGAAGCCCTTTCACTCCTACCTCCACATGGGGTCCCGCTGAGCCTCAGAGAGAACTCACACCCACAAGTAATGGGCTCCTTTCCAGGCAATTCCACACCAAGAAATATACCCTCTAAGGAGATAATCAAACAAAAGTGAATCATCTAGAATAGCACTATCCAAAAGAGATACAAATAAGGTGAGCCACGTATGTACTTCTCAACTTTTTTGGCCACGTTTTAAAAAGATGAAAAGAAACAGAAGAAATGAATCTTTTTTTTGTTGAACCAATATATCAGAAATATTGCCTTTTCAACTAGGGTTACCAGATTCAGCAACTAAAAAACAGTGTGTACGTCATGACATTCCAGGTAAATGAGTAATCGTTTTGAAGATAGTTATATCCCATGCAACATTTGGGATATACTTATACTAAAAAAATTTTTTTATCTTATTTGTTTATCTAAAACCCACACTTGGGCTTGGGGTTGTAGCTCAAGGGTTGAACGCTTGCCTTGCATGCATGAGGCACTGGGTTTGATCCTCAGCACCACATAAAAAAATAAATAAATAAAATAAAGATATTGTGTCCATCTACAACTAAAAAAATATTTTAAAATAAAAATAAAATTCACAATTATTTACTTTTATTTGTTGGCACTGGGGATTGAACCCATAAGCACCCTAACATTGAGCTACATCCCCAACCTATTCTAATTCTAATTCTTATTCTATTTGAGACAGGGTCTTTACTAAGTTGCCCAGGCTATGCTCCTGCCCCAGCCTCCCAAGTAACTGGGATTACAAATTTAAGCCTAAACTTCTTCTTACACATGAGGAAAGACAGGTTCAGGAAGCTTATGTAACTTGCCCAAGAAAATGGCAAACTGAGTTTATTTGGATGGATGGTAGATGGAATCATCCATGCACAACCCACCCCACATGGCTTTGGAGGGATGGACAGCAGTATGTCATTGTCTTCTCTGCATGGTGGATTTTGAGATGGACATCCACCGATCATCAAGCACTGACTTGTCCCAATAAGTGACTTTACCTTTTTAAACCTCAGTTCCCTTTTCTGTAAAATGAAAGTCACTATGATCACCCCCCTGACCTGCTGAAGTCCAGATAAAACAAAGAATGCAGAGGAGTAGACAGCAGCAACTTGCTCCTAATAAGTTTCATTGATGTAAATGTTATCATTCTTCCTAGTCTCTTCATCCTTTCCTGTTTGATTAGACATTTTTATGTGCAGCACTGATCAGTTAAATGAAGATAAAAAAAATTATGTTCAAAAGAAGGGAAAACAGTCCATGGAGCAGCTGGACGAAAAGGGATGATGGAAAGAAAGATGTAAAGGAGAGAGTGAATGAGAGAGATTAAAATCCACTTAAAGACGAAGTGAGACATTGCTTTCCCGTAATTATCTGGGTGACCACCAGGGGGCACTACTTGCAGCTTTCATAGCTAGGTGAAAAAGTCCTTTCAGAAAACAAAAACTTGTGATGAACAAACATATCACTGAAATCATTCAATTCATGATAATTGGGGTGCTCTCTCCCAAGAGCTCCCTGAAAAAGATGCCAACATTCACAGAAGGTGTCAAAGGCAGTGGACAATGTTCTCCCCAATGTGAGCAGTTTGCATCTTACCTTTGGAGTCTTCTTTGGCCAACTGACCACAGGGACACCAGTGATGGCCAGATTAGGGTCGTCATCTGCATGTTCCTTCAGGACATTCTGTAGCCAAACAAAGAAATCATATTAGCCCAGGGTGAGGGGCGGTGTTTGAAAGGGGCTGAAGGCTGGACCTAACCCAGCAGAAGACTGAAAACTCTACACACACACACACACTCACACACACATCAGTGCCTATCTATCACCATCCACTGTGCAATAACCAAGTCACCAGGGTTCCCCAGAGTCCACAAAATACACAATATCCTCTGGGTTCAGTGGTACACACCTGTAATTCCAGGGGCTCAGGAGGCTGAGGCAGGAGGATCCCATGTTCGAAGTCAGCCTCAGCAACTTAGTGAGACCATCTCAAAATAAAAAATTAAAAAGGGCTGGGGAAGTGGCTCACTGGTTATGTGCCCCTGCATTTAATCTCTGGTACCAAAAAAAAAAAAAAAAAAGACTGAGGATGGAATCCCCCAGACAAATGCTGGCAGAGAAGTGGGCTGTGTTGGACACACCAGGAGGGGTCTCCAATGTAGGGCACTGTGTCCATTCCTTTGTTAGCAATTTTAAGGTTCTGCCCAGGTAACTGATTCTACCAGATTTTGGCCTTATGTGCAACTGACTTTAGAATCTCTTTCAGGTGTAAGATGCCATTCTACTGGGTAGCCCTAACTTGCAGCTGAGATGACCAGGACTCAGAAAAGTTCAAAAGACTTGGATGCCACCTCATGCAAGGAAGAGCAGGGCCCCGAACCCTGCCTTCTGGTATCCAACTTTCTGCCTCATGAAATGTGGGTATGTGTGGCAGAATCCACAGCACACCTGATAAAACATGTGTAAGGACACTGGCCTGTTGTTATAGGCCATGAATTCTAGATTGTGCTACTAGGACATTTAAGAACAGAATAAATCACAAATGAGCAATTAACAGGAATAACAGAGGAACCCAAGATAAATGCAGACAAAGATCATTTTAACTCACTTTCTCTAATCCACTTCACCAGAAATGACTCCAATTCAGTTCTGATTTACTTTATTTACTGTCCTATTTTCATGATTGTCATTTGGTTTCCTCATTTTTCAAGATGTGCTTAATAACATTTCAGACCCTCACGAAGAACTCCCTCCACTTCCCATAGGAGGCCGCGACAGCACGTTGGTGGAGGGAGTTGGCTCTTGGTCTGGATATCTAAGTTCAGATTCCAGCGCAGGCACATGCAGCTTTCTTGAAGCCCCTTGGTCAACATCAATGACACGAAAGCTTGATTCACTGGTATGAACCCACGGCCCAGCACAATGACTGCAGTAAGCTTTCAGGAAGTGAAATTTAAAAGAAAGCAAGCCACAAATCTCAAAAGAAAAAACTGACCAGTATTCTTCAAAACAGTCCAGGTCTTCAAAAACAAGGAAAGGCTGAGAAACTATCACAGTTCAGAAAAGCCTAAGGAGACTAAATTCAAGATGGTATCCCAAGTGGGATCCTGGGACAGAAAAAAGGACATTAGGTAAAAACTGAGGATATGTGCCAGGCACGGTGGCACACTTGTACTCCCAGTGACTCAGGAGGCTGAGGCAGGAAGATCGCAAGTTCAGTCAGCCTGGGCAACTGAGCAAGACCCTCAGTAACTTATAAAATTAAAAAATAAAATGGGCTGCGGATGTGGCGTAGAGGTTAAGATTCTCTGGGTTCAATCCCCAGGACCACACACAGTTGCTCCTTGGTATCCATGAGGACTGGTTCCAAAATGTCCCATGGATACCAAAATCTATGAATTTGAAAAATCCATGAATGCTCAACTCCTATATAAAAAGTGTTGCAGCATTTGCATATAACCTATACCCATCCCCCAAGACTTTGAGTATTAATTTTTTGGTACTAGGGAATGAACTCAGGGGCACTCTACCACTGAGCTACATTCCCAGTCCTTTTTTAAAAATTTTTTCTATTTTGCGATAGGGTCTCGCTAAGTTGCCCACGCTGACTTCAAATTTGCAATCCTCCTGCCTCAGTCTCCCCAAGCACTAGTATTACAGGCATGTACCATCGTGCCCAGCTCAACACCACCCTCAATACTTTAAATTATCTCTAGATTATTTTAATACTTAATAACAATGTAAATGCTATGTAAACAGCTGTTACATGGTATTTTTGTGCTATTTTTTACTAGTGTATTTTATTTTTTATTGTTTTAAATATTTATTAGTTGTAGATGGACACAGTACCTTTATTTTATTTATTTATTTTTATGTGAACCCAGTGCCTCACTGAGCCACCACCCCAGGCCATATTTTATTTCTTAGTCTCTCCTCCCCATCCTATTTTCAATGCAAGACAGGCTGAAGCTATACATGTGGAGCATGCAGAGACAGGAGGTCACCTGTACATTGCCAAGGAATCACCAATAGACATGGTTCAACTTCGGCATGGTCCTCCCACTTGGTAAAAGAAAAGGCTACCAAAAAGTTTGCGATAGTGGAATGACCCATCCCTGGGGAGAAAAGTGTTTCATTACCAATATTTAAAACTGGCCGTTCACTTTTTTTTAATGTTTATTTTTTTAGTTATAGGTGGATACCATATATTTATTTTATTTTTATGTGGTGCGGAGGATTGAACCCAGTGCCTCACACATGGTAGGCGAGCACTCTACCTCTGAGCCACAACCCCAGCCCAGGCAGTTCACTTTTAATTGGTTTTATTTTTCAATTTTTTGTTTGTTTATTTATTTTATTAGGTGCTGGCGGTGGAACCCAGGGCCTCACACACTGCATGCCCTACCACTGAGCTGCATCCCAGCCTAATTCTTGGTTTTAAATGTACTGCAATGGACCTCTTTTTACTTGCCATTTCCAAGTCCTATCTGCACTGTGGTCCACCACTCAGGGGGGGCTTGGACTGGCCAGGTAAGAGGGGTGCAGGAAGAGCCTTGGGGGTACAGGGCTGCACCTTTTGCTAAATGATGACAGTAAGAAGTTCTGAATATGTTCTCTATTCAGATGACTATAAAAACTGTCTCATGTCACTCTCATTTGACACCTGTGACCACTCTAGGACAGGGACTGTCATTTCCAAGTCATAGATGAGGAAACTGAGATATTTAGATAGATGAAGACAATTGTCCATGACCACAGAGCTAGTAAAAGGTGGAACATGGCTGAATCCTGATGGAGAAAAGTATGGGGGGGGGTGAAGCTCAGTTCTAGGGCATTTGCCTGGCATGCGTGAGGCCCTGGGCTCATCCCCAGTACCCCCCCACCCCCACACACACACAAATGGCTATATCATTTAGCCTATATTAAATTTTATAAAAAATTTTTAAAAAAGAGTAGGGAGAAGCCCATATTCAAAGCAGGGCTATTCGTAATAGCCAAAAAGAAGAGGTTCCAGTGGTGGATGAATAGATATATGAAATGTGGTCTATCCAAACAACAGAATATTATTCAGCGTAAAAAAGGAAAATTCTAACCCGTGCTTCAACCTAGATGAACCATGAGGACAGACAAAAAAGGACCAAGGCTTTATAATTCTACTTACATGCAGGACCTGGAAAGGCAAATGTACAGAATGGTGTTGCCAGGGGCCGGGGAGATGCAGAGTAAGGCCTCAGTATTTCATGCACACAGAGTTTCAATTTCAGTTGTACAAAAAGGGAACATACTTAAGGCCACGGAGCTGCCACCTGACTGTGGTCAGGATGGCCAATTTAATATTATGGTTCTTACTACAATTTTTACAAAGTGGTAAGGGCAGTAAGGATTCTAAGCCATGGACTCAGAAGTTCTAGAAAGCACAAGGTAGGGACATGATACTTCACTAGTTGAATTGTTACTATAATATCTGGGGGTGGGTGTGGGCGGTGGGGTGGTCTTCTTCTCTGAAGACCTGGGGGTCAAGTTCTGCAATTTATGCTTCCTACAGTCTCACCAGGTATAGAACACTGACATCCACTGTGAAGCCATCCATAATTTCATTACCATTCTTAGGAGCTGTTTAAATCCCTGCTCTGCATAACAATGTAATCCTATCTGTGAGGCAAGACTGATTCTTCCCACTTCAAGAGAGGTTAAGTGACTTGCCCACGGTCACATAGCTAGGAGGTGGTAGAACTTGGAATTATCAATCAAAACAAAGGAACAACAACAAAAAAAAACCACTAATACTTGGGAGGCCAAATTGAGAGGATTGCAAAGGACAAGTTGGGCAACTTAAGAGGCCATGTCTCAATAGTTTTAAAAACGGATGGAGATGTGGCTCAGTGGTAGAGTGCTTGCCTCACATGCAGGAGGCCCTAGGTTCAATCCACAGCACTCCTTCCCTGCAAAATCTTTAAGAAAAGGCTTACTCGTAGGATGCCCCATGTTTAGTCAAAGTCTTGATTCTTCCTTATGTACAGGTCACTCTGGCTGAGAGAGGTCAACACTTCCACTGGGCTTTCTGTCCCCTTAGCCCTGTCCTGGACTCTAGTGGGGAGAGAGGATGAAAACCTCAAAGGCCTCCAGGATCCAGGCAGTAAGGCAAAAGATGTACGTGGACGAAGACAAAAAGAGTGGTGAAGCCTGTCCAAACTGGAGACCACGTGCCCCATTTAAAGGAGTCACTGGCTGGGCTGGGGCTGTAGTTCCGCAGCAGAGCCCTTGAGGCAGGGGTTCGATCCTTAGCTCTACATAAAAATAAATAAATACAATAAAGGCCTTCTTCCCACCTACAACTATCAAGAAATTAAAAACAAAAAAAGTCACAGTCTACTCAATTCCAGCCTACTCACTTCCCATGGATAGGAAAGCCCCACCGGATCTCTGATCTTTTTCCAAAGAAACCAAAGATCTAGAGTTTGACTTAAAATCTCTGTATTTTAAAATGTTGAAAAATTTTAAAAATATTTTTATTTTAGTAGATGGACACAATATCTTTATTATGCTTATTCATTTTTATGTGTTGCTGAGGATCAAACCCAGTACTTCACATATGTTAGGCAGGCACTCTACCACTGAGCCACAAGCCCAGCAGGTTGAAATTAAAAAAAAAAAAAAAAATCAACCAATGAAGTCGAATGTAT